TTATAGCACGGCCTACATGCGCGTGCGTTTTGTGTTTTAGTGTTTGTTCTTGCTCCGCACATCAGATTAGCACCATTGGCTACGTACGGTGCGAAAGAAGTTAGTTTAAATTTCTACATCCGTTAAAGGAGTAGATGATGGAAAATGTAAAACTGAAGTCTCGCGTAAGGCAGTGTGGCGCTTACAGAAAGACACGCCTTTAGCTCGTGCAGTTACAGTCGTCTCAAGGAGACGCCACATGAAGATGCGTGAAGGTAATTTAATTTCTGACGGGGAGAAACAGCGGCAACTCGAAATATAAACCATTCTTGGGAGCCTCCCTTAGGTCAGTTCGGCCTTAAATGAGTACTCGGTTCATTGCGAGTGTAGATTCGGGAGACAAAGACGGCTGTGATTCTGCTTACACGACCACTAACAGCACGCTGCTGGCCTTCATAGAGGCTCACTCGCTACGCTTGATGTTCAGAGCTAAAAGTAGCGAATTGAGTCCCCGAAAGAAGATCTGAGCAGGCCATAAAATAAGGGACAATAAACTCAGAATAGTTTTTTACGCTTTTCATCGTCAACGCCTGCTGTTGTATCATTTCAAGCGGCATTGGTTCAACACAAGCATGTAAGAATTGTTTCAATACCACCAGGTAAATTAGTTGCTAGATGTACTGTTAATGTATGAAGTTCATAGTTTAAATAAAAGTAATCTAATGTCCGCGATTTTGAATTATCCGCGGCTGTCCTCCCTGTCAGCACGAATAATCGATAATCTACTTTATTAGCTGACGTCCAAAGAAAATCCTAAATGAATGAAAATCAGGTCTACGATTGTCATTCAATTATAGACCTGATTGAATGAAAATCAGGTCTATCGTCATAATTACAGACCCCTTAATCTGTGATGATGACGAGGAGTGGCCGCTTTCAAATGGGAAAAGTCGACGCTGTCTTTGCGCGTCAGGTGCTGCCTTAGCACTTGTTCTGATCCCATGCCTTGGTTGGGATTTAAAAAAATGTCTGTTTCCCAGTGGAGCCTGGGACGCGTCACGCAGCCGCCCCTACCTGCTGCCGGTGTGCGGACACGCGTCTTGTGTGGAGCATGCCTGCAGGACAAAGGGCGCGGGCTGCGAGTTTGTGTGCCCGACCTGCAAGGTACAGCTACGACAGTCGTATGGCCACGTTGTGTACGAGTGTGTATGTCAGGGTGTTTGTATCTGCCTGCATGTGCACAATAGTGCAGCGGTTAGCGCTACGCTGCGCTACGAACCCGGCGACACGAGTTCGATTCCCGCTCATGGCCGCCAACACTGGTGACGATTATATGAACCAGTCCTGGACTCCCCTAAAGTTGACTCGGCGTCAAATGAGTACCTGGTACAGTGTGTAAACAACGCCACTGGGGAGACAAAGGCGGCTGGGCTTGATGTTGGCCAAACACCCTCTCGTGCCGTGCCGGCCTTCATGGATGCTACTCACTATCGGCACTTGCCCCAACAGTCTGTTAAGGCTACACGGGGGATCTTTGTCTTTTGTATGTGAACGTGTTATCAAAACGCCTCTCGGCTGGTTTCGTGTGAAGTCCCCAGTGGTGTAACTGGGTGCTACTGCAGTGGATAAAACAACCTGCAAATATGAGCCAAAGATTTATTTGTTAACAGTGAAAGCGAAGTTTTTCAGGCATTGTCAAAAACATTTTGCAAGGGACCAGAATGGATGAATCCGAGTCAACGACACAAGATGTCGCTTGCTTCTGTCTGTGATTTGCAGTTACGAGTTTTACTCACTCTGCCACGTTTGCAATAGTTTCCTTGTATTTGGCAAGCAATCGGAGAGGGACAAACGGTGATGCCATCTTTTTGTACGCTTTCTCTTTTTGAAAATGTTGCTGCTTGACATTTTAATGGTACACTACCAAGCTGTCAGTTGAATATGTAGCAGGCTTTCGCGACCAATGTCCATAATCGAGGTTTTTGGGTTAGATTGCGTAAATATAATAAATGTCATTAATCCCGGCACCACCCAATACGGTCATTAGTAAGGTTTGTCACGTAACCCAAAACATGCCAATTCATGACTAGTACAGCTCATCGTTGAAAGTAAAGATGTATGAAGAATACGGAAAATATATTGTTATCCGGCATTCTCAATCTGGAATGCTCTTCACTAACCAGCATCTGTCGTAAACGGCAATGCGAATCTTCCTTCATGTACAGACAGTCCACAGGTTGCAGAATATCTGACTTAGGAAATCTAACCTAATGGGAATGCTTCCATAAATCATGTAACAATAAAACATCGATATGCAGACTTCTTGCGTTAATTACATAAGCGCAAATATTGCAGCACAGTGAGGTTTGCGGATGAATACCGTGGAGCGAGACGTAAGGCGAGGGGCAACCTTACGCCTCGCTTGAGCTCCACGAGGGTTAAGAGGCATTTATTGTCGTCTTATGTAAATCTTTCATTTCGTAGCATTATGTCCATTGCTTTTTTTATATTCTGAAGCTTGTTTTTCCCCATGTTTCTATTGCTAGTTTTCTTCATTTAAGTTTATTTTCATGAGTTTTTTACTGTATGTACTTTATTTAACAAAATTCTACTTCAGTTGCTTATGCACTCAGCCCAGTATCAAGGAGGATATCTGTGTTGTGTCCAGCCCCATGGCAAGGGGGGGGGGGGTATCTGTGTTTTGTCCAGCCCCCTGGCAAGGGGGGGGTATCTGTGTTGTGTCCAGTCTCGTGGCAAGGGGGTATCTGTGTTGTGTCCAGTCTCGTGGCAAGGGGGTATCTGTGTTGTGTCCAGTCTCGTGGCAAGGGGGGTATCTGTGTTGTGTCCAGCCCCGTGGCACGGGGGGTATCTGTGTTGTGTCCAGCCCCGTGGCAAGGGGGGTATCTGTGTTGTGTCCAGCCCCGTGGCAAGGGGGGTATCTGTGTTGTGTCCAGCCCTGTGGCAAGGGTGGGTATTGGTGTTGTGTCCAGCCCCGTGGCAAGGGGGGTATCTGTGTTGTGTCCAGTCTCGTGGCAAGGGGGGGTATTGGTTGGTTGTGTCCAGTCTCGTGGCAAGGGGGTATCTGTGTTGTGTCCAGTCTCGTGGCAAGGGGGGTATCTGTGTTGTGTCCAGCCCCGTGGCAAAGGGGGGTATCTGGTGTTGTGTCCAGCCCCGTGGCAAGGGGGGTATCTGTGTTGTGTCCAGCCACATGGCATAGGGGGGGTATCTGTGTTGTGTCCAGCCCTGTGGCAAGGGGGGGTATTGGTGTTTGTGTCCAGTCCCGTGGCAAGGGGGTATCTGTGTTGTGTCCAGTCTCGTGGCAAGGGGGTATCTGTGTTGTGTCCAGTCTCGTGGCAAGGGGGGTATCTGTGTTGTGTCCAGCCCCGTGGCACGGGGGGTATCTGTGTTGTGTCCAGCCCCGTGGCAAGGGGGTATCTGGTTGTTGTCCAGCCCCGTGGCAAGGGGGGTATCTGTGTTGTGTCCAGCCCGTGGCAAGGGGGGTATCTGTGTTGTGTCCAGCCCTGTGGCAAGGGGGGTATTGGTGTTGTGTCCAGCCCCGTGGCAAGGGGGGTATCTGTGTTGTGTCCAGCCCGTGGCAAGGGGGGTATTTGTGTTGTGTCCAGTCTCGTGGCAAGGGGGTATCTGTGTTGTGTCCAGTCTCGTGGCAAGGGGGTATCTGTGTTGTGTCCCAGCCCCCGTGGCAAGGGGGTATCTGTGTTGGTGTCAGCTCCTGGGCAAGGGGGGTATCTGTGTTGTGTCCAGCCTCGTGGCTAGGGGGGGGTATCTGTGTTGTGTCTAGCCCCCGTGGCTAGGGGCGGTATTGGTGTTTTGCGATGACGCCTACTCACACCTCGTCTCCTTCGTCAGGTCCCCGGCCTCCTTCTACCTGCAGCCCGACGAAGCGCTTGGAAATTTCCTACCCACGTGAGCATGACCGCTCTCCCCCTTGGCTCTGCGGCCCGCTCGGCTCATCTCCGTGTGCGCGATAATGCGTGGTGACAATGTTGATTGCATTTCTCTTTTTTTTATACTAACGCTATAAACTAAACTTTTTTTATTTTAAGTGCTACTGAACTATATAGCTATTTTTCAGAAGTGACCTGGCTACTGTAATAAAAGACTTCGTTGGTCACTGTTGGTCTCCTTTGGCCTTTTTTTTAGTTTCTTTCTCCGCCACCCGCTGGTCCTGTCCGCGGACCAGCGTCGTCTAGCGCGTGCCCCGCACGCGCGACCTCATCGGCTCCTCCACTCTTCCTCACACCCCGCTAGTCCTGACAGGGGACCAGCGTCTCCTCGCGCGCGCCCACGCACGCTCCTCCGTTAGCTCCTCCACTCCCGCACTCCGCTGGCCGACGGCGTGCTGAAGGTCCTTCGGCCACGTGGCCGATGGCGCGGATCTCCTCTCACCACCCAACGTGGCTCAGCCTCTTTACTCCGCAACTCCCCCGATCTCTTCCGAGCTCCCACTTCTATCCTCTCCCCCACGTGACCCTGACTCCTCCCCTTCCGATCGTCAGATACGGCCTTCCCATACTGCCCTGCTGGCTCCACCCCCATTCACCTCGCTTCCAATTGGAGCCGAGGTGAACGCGGCCCCTCCCACACGCCCCCCATACCGGGCTCCGCCCCCCAATAACCCGGGCCGTGTGATTGGGCCAGAGCCCAGCAGCAAACCCCATTTACGCTCTCATTTCACTACAAATAATAGTTCAACGAAGGGGCTTATGTGCAAATTTTAATTAGCCAAATACTATTAAGGCATCTTGAATCTAAATGTAGAGGGGAAAACCAGAGGACCCAGAGAAAATCCACGCGACTGCGGAGGGAACATGCAAACTCCAAATTTACAGCAGGCGTCAGGGTCGGGATGGAACCCACGCCCTCCTGTATACCACGCCACCATGACACTATACTGCCAGCCACCGTCCAACATTCACAAGGTTCAGAAATTCCCTTCGCGGCCTGCGGAACACGCTGCAGATAAAGTTATATAGGGCGGGCACAGAGTACCCACAGTTCCCAGTGTCCACCCCCTACCTACAAGCCTCACCCTTCCCTACCCACAAGCCTCGTCCCTCACCACTCCCTTATCACAATCCTCACCCTTCCCTACTCCCTACCCACAAACCTCACCCATCCCCTACCCACAAGCATACAGGCACCACTCGCGTGGGCGCAACGTGCACAGGTGCAATGCAGGCAGGCCCAATACATAGTGGCATTGCTCAAGATTGCTTTATCAGATCCTCAGTAAGTCTGCACTCCAGCTAACATTGTAGATCGCGGCGCAGACAGCCGAGTTACATGGAAGCGCTAGAGTTTGCTCTACACGGAGCGTTAACGGCCCGCCTCCATTCCGAGCATGCGTGGAAGCGTGCTCAGCAGCGTCAAAGCGAGCCGCCGTGAGTTGGGCAAGAACGTTGACAGCCCTGACCATGTGGAACATGGCTCGTTCAGATGGCGCGGCGACTCTCGATCGCGAGCTTTCACTCTAGCGGCGTTGTGACTCGTTGGGGCCGCTCCGTGTCAATGACCCGCGGCGGTCTCGACTGTTGCCCAGCCCAGGACTCTGGGCCTCAATAGCCTATGCAGAGCCAACGCCCTCCAAAACGTTGACCTGCAGCATGTTGCGTGGCAGAAAGGGAATTGCTGAATGTTACGAGGAATGTTGGACCAGTGGCTCGTGGTATGGACTAGAGCAGGGGTCGGGAACCTTTTGACTGGGAGAGCCATAAAAGCCAAATATTTCTAAATATATTTCATTGAGAGCCATATAGTATTTTTAACGTATAATAAATTAAATATGTCTTACTTTTAATGCGACTTCTGGTGCTGCATGGTTTTGCTGATGGCCTTGTAGTCTGGTTCATACGTGGTGAGGTTGAGCTTCATGCAGGCGTGACCCGTGAAATTTATCTTCAAAACTAATTTCTGTTTACTTTAAAATGACACAGTATTATTAAACAATATCACAAGTATTTAAAATCAGTTCCAAACTGATTTTTTATTATTATTATTTTTTCCAACTCAAAATTGTCTGGGAGCCATATGCCGTCACCGGAAGAGCCATATATGGCTCGCGAGCCATAGGTTCCCGACCGCTGGACTAGAGAAACAAGTTTTCCATTCATGAAAAATGTAACGTGATCTATTTGGTGTTTGAACATCTTAAGACATGTTTTATTGCCAGAAAGGGTAAAACTTATTGTTATTCTTTATACTTCGATGCTGACAACAAGGTCCCATGACAAGTTAAAAAAACAATTCCACAAATGACTAAACTCCCTAAGTCTTCGTAACAGCCGTGCTTCATTGCTTTGTGTAGCAGCGCCACCGTGTGGATGGAGCCTCATAGCACTTGGAGTGTGGCATTTTTTTTATTGTGTGTGGACATCGCGTTGCGGCCTGTGTGTGCGGGGCGTGCAGGCTGAAGGAAATGCTGGAGGAGCGATTTGGTGGGAAGCCTCGGCCGCTCTACCCCGAGCGGTCGCTCGCGCAGGGCGGCCGCGGCGCTGGCGTCTGGCACCGATCTTGTCGAGGGCTCTGTACAGCACAAACCACTGCACCTGGGCCACGGCCCGAATCCAAAGCCTCCGTTCTGACGGTCAGATTCAGGTCTGTTCCCGTAGTCGAGTTCACGTTTAAATTTATGGTGGGCAATGAGTTGATTGAAACCTAGAGATGTAAAATAGCAGACAGGTCACTTCTGTCACCAGGCCTTTTAGCTGCGTTCCCAACCAAGGCTTTTTCTATTTCCACACCTCCGATTAGCACAGTTGGCTATGTACGGTGCGAAAGAAGTTCAACATAAATATTCATAAGTTTGTTTACCCCAAGAAGACCTCAAGCTTTCACGACCATTATCCATAATCGAGGTTTTGGGGTTAGACGACGTAAATATGAATGTGTCGTTCAACCCGCCACTGCCAACAGCCAATTACTGTAGTGAGGTTTGTCACGTAATCAAAACGTGCTAATTCGTTACTAGTTCAGCACACTGGTGTGTTCGAGAGTAAACCCCCAACATTTACAATTCAATACTCTTTGGTTCTTTTGGTAAAGTCACGTAGGTATAAAATAAAATTTACAATTCGAGTACGACGTTTTGTCAGTAATTCCAACTCACATCAACAGGCGATAGCCAGGGTTGTTAAGAGCGAAGCAGGAGGCTTTCTCAAGAGATAAATGTGATGTCTCACTTGTGGGGCAATTAGGCCGAAGGCCGGGGGGGGGGGGGTTATAAATGCATATAAATTACAATGGATATCCAATATCGGTTGGGTTATTCATAGGATAATCAACAGACATACATTCACATTATGCATGCACACCATGCATATCCATCCTGCCGTTTTTGGTTGCAAGAAAGACGGGTTTTTTTTATTCCAGCGTTCAGATAGTTGCCCAGTACCAGTTACGTTGCCATGGCGTGTTGTAGGCTGAAGCATTGACGCTAGAGGATGACCGAAACTGAATTTCTGGTTTCGGCCCAAACCGAAACCAGACCGAAAGTTAAATATTGGCTTTTGGCCGAAACCGAAGCCGAAACCGAAAGTTGAACTTCACTTTCGGCCGAGACCAAAACAGAAAGGTTTATAACCAAAGTTACCGAACACAAGATTTATGAAATACTAGCTTTACTACCCGGCTTCGCCCGGGACTTGGATTCACCACGGCCGGCTGCCTTTGTCTCCCCAGTGGCGATGTTGACACACCACTTACTCGTTTGAGGCTGAGTCGACCTAGGGGAGGCCCAGGACCAGTTCAAATAATCGTCACCGGCGGTGGCCATGAGTGGGAATTGAACTTTGGTCGTCGGGTTTGTAGCGCAGCGCGCGAATCGCTACGCAGTCGCTGCCCCCCCCTACATACACACAGGATAAGGACAAAAATCCACCATGTAGCCTGTGAGACTGTAGGGGGCAAGTGCTGTTAGCGAGTACCTATGAAGGCCGGCATGGCACACGAGGGGGTGGGTGGCCAGCACCACGCCATGTTCGTAGCGCTAAGCGCTACACATGCGCGGGTGACATGACAGATGTGACGTCACAGCTCGCTTGCCGTGCAAAATATATGCATTATTGCACCCCCCCCCCCCCAAAAAATAATACCAAAGTGTATGCATGGTGTACAGTATGGAAAGTACCCACATGGCAAATTTAAAGTTTGTTGCATGTCAGGAAGTACGCTAAACATTTTGAACAGACACATTCACAAATTTTCATTTTTTATATATAGGTCATGATGCAATGCTACTTTAATAAAATATGTATCTAGAACTAATCATTCAGAGCCTGCAGTAAGAGTCGTTAAATATCAAATCTTTAGGTGTTACTTAGTGATTATATCTAAACAAACGAATGTTGTAGTTAAGAAATACCAGTTTTTCCGCATTCTCGCCCAGCAGGTTGCTGTTTCTTGCATCAGAATCGACTTTAGTGATTAACTGCTCCGTTTATTAAGTTTAATTTTCTACTTCACTCAGATTCGTAATTTTGTTATCACTAATTCGCTACGTAACTATTAACTAACTGAATAACAATATTGTCAGATTTCGATTTAAAGCTTTCGTGACTGCAGGGATTCATCTTCTTGGTTCTTTCGGTAAAGTCACATAGAAGGGAAATAATAAAATAATAAAAATAAAACATAATAAAATAATTCTCACGACGTTTCGGCCACAACGCAAGCAGCTGTCCTCAGGTGAAGAATTCTTCATTTTTTTATTATGTTTTATTTTTATTATTTTATTACTTCCCTTCTAAGTGACTTTACCGAAAGAACCAAGAAGAATATTGTCAGACTTCGAATCTCGGTATCAACACGCGTATAGACTGAAGAGAACGCAACACATAAGCCAAGGCGGGCAGGCGGCTGGGAACAGACAACAACGGCACTTTGTTGTCGTCCCGCCAAAGAGACTCCACCCACGGATGCAAAAGCAGGCTGCCGTCTGTTGACATTAACAGACCATCGTTGCGGCTGTAACCTCGCTCCCAAGCTGCTGCTGATGTGTTTTTGCAGCCTATCGCAGGATTGCCTAGCGCCGACTGACCGGCCGATAGGCAGAGAGATAAACGTAGCACTAGCGTTATATTCTAAAAATAGATCTTCGGTTGACCGAAAGTCAATATCAGTTTCGGCCGAAACCGAAAGTAAACCGAAAGTAAAAAATGTACTTTCGGCCGAAACCGAACGTATGTCGAAAGCGGCCATTTGCCAACTTTCGGCACCGAAACCGAATTTCGGTCGGCCTTTACTTTACGCATCACCTCTGTGCGACCGACTGGGGATCGCAGCAACTTGAAAAGGTGATCAAATGTACAAGAGGGGTTGGTATGAATCCTATTGCTATTTGGGACTTACCTTGGAAAAACAAAACCAAGCATGTGTTTATCAAAGGATTATTCAATATTGGGCCAAAAAAGGATTGTTGATTACAGTAGACTCTCCATTTTCCACACTAATGACCGGGAGGATGGCCACGGATAATTCAAAATCGTGGATAATCCCAAATATTCATCTTCCGTGGATCTCTATGCCAAAAACCACTAAAGTATAGTGGTATAAGTTATGTTTAAGTTAAGAAAATTGAGTTGGTTAATGAATTAAACTAAAATTGTAGAACTCACGATAGATCGATGCGCGTGCTCAATGATAACAATTTCCTGCTCCCGCGCAGACGACTCGGCCCACAAAGGGGACAGCAACAGAGCCACGTCAATCAACATCAATCATTGCAATGGACAATTTTACGTGATTGCATTTACTGATCTGACCGAGGTGGTGGCACGTGCCTGTAAACTCATGGGGCTGAAAGGTGGCAGTATAGAAAGTTGGGGCACGTGACTTGTCTGTGCGGCCCTGTGAATGTTGTCCCCTTGTGCTCGTGGGCTTTCGCTCATTACTCAGTGCTGCAAAGCAGTGGCAATGGGAGCCAAGTACAGTAGACTCTCGATTATTCGCGCTAATTAGGGGAGGACGGCTGCACTAAGACCCATAGAATCATACACAGACACACAGCCTCACACAGACACCCATTGACTCACACAGAAACCCAAAGACTCACGCAGGAACAATATACTTGCACAATGACCCATAGAATCTCACACAGACACACAGCCTCACACAGACACCCATTGACTCGCACAGAAACCCAAAGACTCGCACAGAAACAATATACTTGCACAAAGACCCATAGACTAACACAGCGACCCATAGACTCACACAGAGACCCATACACCCACATAGGGACAATATACTTGCACACAGACCCATAGACACCGAGACCCAATGACACACACAGAGAAAAAAATCCCACAGAGACCCATAGACTCACACAGATACCCATAGACTCACACAGAGACCCATAACCTCACACAGACCCATACACCCACACATAGACCCATACACCCACACAGAGACCTATAGACTCAAACATATACCCATAGACACACACAGAGACCCATAGACTCACACAGAGACCCATAAACTCACACAAAGACTATACTAGCCCAAAGACCCATAGAATCACAGGAAGACACATTGGCAAACACAGAGACACAGACTCGCACAGAGACACAGACACCCATTGACTCACACAAATACCCAAAGACTCACACAGGGACAATATACTTGCAAATAGACCCATAGAATCTCACACAGACACACAGCCTCACACAGACACCCATTGACTCACACAGAGACCCATAGACTCACACAGAAACAATATACTTTCACAAAGACCCATTGAATCACACAGAGACACAGACATACATCGACTCATAGATTCACACAGGGACAATATACTTGCACAAAGACCCATATAATCACATAGAGACCCATAGACTCACAGAGACCCATAAACTCACACAAAGACAATATACTTGCACTAAGACCCATAGACTCACACACAGACACACAGCCTCACACAGACACCCATTGACTCACACAGAAACCCAAATACTCACTCACTGGGACAATATACTTGCAATTAGACCCACAAAATATCACACAGACACACAGCCTCACACAGACACCCATAGACTCACACAGATACCCATAGACTCACACAGAGACCCATAACCTCACACATAGACCCATACACCCACACATAGACCCATACACCCACACAGAGACCCATAGACTCAAACATATATCCATAGACACACACATAGACCCATAGACTCACACAGAGACCCATAGCTCACACAAAGACTATATTTGCCCAAAGACCCATAGAATCACAGGAAGACACATTGGCAAACACAGAGACACAGACTCGCACAGAGACACAGACACCCATTGACTCACACAAATACCCATCGAAACACACAGACAATATACTTGCACTAAGACCCATAGAATCACACACAGACATTGACTGACACAGAAACCCAAAGACTCGCACAGGGACAATATACTTGCAAATAGACCCATAGAATCTCACACAGACACACAGCCTCACACAGACATCCCCAAAAATGCAAAATGCATTACGAATCATATTGACTGCCAAAACACATGTGGAAGTAGTTGAATATACAAAGTAATGCCCCACTAGACTCTTAACGGACCCAGCTCCCCCTCAAACTTAACGCGATTCCCCCGCACGCCCCTTCACTCACCAAAGTACTTGTTTCTCTCAGGCGCGTCATCAATCAAATTCTGAGGCGGCATCCCGAGGATCTACACACAATTCACACAGAGACAATGATCACCCATACAGTATTGACACACTTGTGTGGAAAGTTCTGTTTGTGAGCACCTACTGATGATGGCACAGCACCCAAGGCCACACCACAGCAACTATTTTACAAATCACTCCAGGTATTGATTTAATGCTGAGTCGATATTTGAGAGGCCAAGGACTGGTCCAACATTCAACACCACACGGTCAGGGTGCTAACCACTCGGCTACCGCTCCCGATGGTTCTCGCATGCAGGCACGGGGCAGTGTTATTGGCATGGCCCAGCAAAACCGTGAACGCCGCACGTTGCAGAAGTTCACGGATCAATCCCAGTGACTGCCCTGGTGTTTACTGCGGTATTAAACCACAAAATACTATGCACCATCTGCCTCATTCACAGCGGAGGTAATGGGTCCCGTGGCGTCATTTGAAATTGCTTATATGGTTGTGAGAATTTTCATCTGACAATTCAAATTATTTGCAGGTGGTGTAGGGTTACATTTGGCCAATCCGTGGCCTCATGCAATAATCTATCACGAGTCATAACACCAGCTCTAAAAATCTATGCGTTCCGCTCACAGTTACCTTGACAGGTCTACGCCTGAGTAATTGGTTCTGTCATGCGGTTGTATCCAACTCAGTAGCTTGTGTGTGGACAACCATGCAACCAGTCGCGAGCAGTCGTACGCCTCTTTCTCACAGAAGAGACGACTCAAGTGGTCTGCTCAGGGAATTGTAAGGAAGTATTTCCTGTCGCATGTTCAATTGGTCATACCAATTCTGAATATTATTTTAATACCCTTGATGCGGAAATACTCGATGAGAAGTGAAAAACATGGTTAGAAGCAATGACTGAGTTGCGCGATTTCAAGAGCAAATTGGTCATGAAATTGATCACTCAATAACGGAATTGTCAGTGTTACTGCTGTGTGGGCAATACCTCCATATAACACGGGAGCTGGTCGTGTTTGTTGATGGCCGGAAAGAGGATGCGCCCGGTAGCCAACTCGGCCACTGTACACCCCAGCCCCCACATGTCAACCGGGAAAGATGACATGTGGCCCAGGTATGCCTCTGGGGCAAGGTACGCAGGGGAACCAAAAATCTGTGAACCTGTGAATTACAAAATACAAACATAACCAATATAACCTTTAACAGCAACACACAGGCACGAAAAAACATGTATACAAACACATGTACTCACCCATAGGTTTGGACGAAAGGCGGCGGTCGAAAGGCGCGGAGAGAGCAGCAGCAGAAGCAGCAGCAGCAGCATCATCATCGCGTGTGGAGATCAGCCGAGAGGAGTGGATCCGAGCTGTGTATTAGTGGTGGTGTGGTAGTAGTGGTGTTAGTGGTGGTGGAGGTGTTAGTGGTGGTGGGGTTGTTATTGGTGGTGGGGGTGTTAGTGGTGGTGGTTAATGGTGGGATTGTTGTTAGTGGTGGTGTTAGTGGTGGTCTGTTAAGGCTATTACGGGGGAGCTTTGTCTTTGGTGGTGTTCGTGGGGGGAGGGGGGCGTCGGGGTGGGGAAGGTACTGGGGGGGAGGGGCTTACGGGCTGTTGCGTCACGAGGGCGTGCTCACCGGGCCCCGCCCCCACTTCTGGCAATTTTTATTTGTCACAGGCGGCGACTCTGGAGGAAATGTCTCTCATGAAATTGTCTTTTCCGAGACCAAGGTTCTCTGCAAACCTCCCGGCTACCATCAAAGGTTTGTACACGAAGCCATACAAATATACAAACACAGACATAATTTCAACCGTGATGATGGGTACAAACTTAGTAATCATTGGAAAGATGTGATCAACCACGCAAAAAAGACTTAATTACACTTTTTTGGACCATCTTATCTGACAGGCACTATTTTACTTTACTTTACCGAGTGTTAACATCCCCAGTGTTTAACAGTACTCTCTTCATTGTTCAGCCAGCATTGGTATAAACATGGGCATTTTCGTTCTTTTTCTATCATGTGTATCAGGCCTCCCCTCCCCCTCTCTGTCCAATGCGTTGGCGTTGTGCAACAGCAACCGCGTCCACGCCGTCGTCCATTCTTTTGGCCCCGCTCACCTCCCCCTCCCGATGCGTTGTACGTGGCACTCCGTGCCGTCTTTGAGCCCCGCCCCCCTCCCTCCCGATACGTTCCATTCATTGGCTACCACATTCTGATGAGCTCCCCCCCCCTCTCCTCCCCCTCAACTTGCTTTTAAGGGATTACATCTTGAATCATTGCCTCACTTGATGCAGCTAATCCGGCTGTGACGGTCCCACCTGATGACGGAGACTTGTGTTGCCTCCGAAACGTCGTGATTTTTGTTTTATTTTTATTAATTTTGATGTTTTACCTACGTGACTTTACCGGAAAAAAAAACCTGTGAGTGAGTGGTGATGTGAGTGGTGAGGACGTGTGTGTGTCTGTGTAGTGTACTGGCAGGAGGAATGGTGGTGTTAGTGGTGTTACTGATAGTGGTGGTGTGTTGTGAGTGGTGACAATGTGAGTTCATGTCAGAATCAGAATACTTATACTGGAGGAGTCTGATGAGCTATACAGCTTTTTCTCACAGATGTGCAGTGTTGTGGGTGAATGGTTATGATGTAAGCTCGTGTTGATGAAGTGAGTTTCTTGTTAATGATGTGGGTCCGTGTTAATGATGTGGGTTTGTGTTGATGATGTTGGTTAACGGTGAGGATGAGTCTGTGATGTGACGTGACTCGTGTTGAGACCCTGTGTGACCCTCGCCTTCGTCTCCCGCTCTCCACGCAGAGACCCGGACCCTGTGAGAGACGCCGCGAGTTCTGTGCACCCTGCACTGTACGTACCGTGTACCAGTCGGGGAGCGGGCAGTATTATTGCGGTGAACACCACGCTGCCCTCCAAGTTCGACTCCCGCTCACGGCCACCAACACTGCTGACGATTACCTCAGCCGCTCCTGGGCCTCCCCGTGTAGCCGTAGCGAGCAGCACCGATGAAGGCCAGCACGGCACGCGACACCAGTGTTGGTGGCCGTGAGCGGGAATCGAACCCTGGGTGGCAAGGTTCCTAGCGAAGCGCGCTAATCACTACACTACCGCACACACACAGACACACACAAACACACAGACACACACAGACACACAACAACAACCGCCATTCGCCACTAAGTGGCGGTGACGTCACCACGACGCTTGTGCCAGGCCATGTGCACCTTGAGGCCACGTGAAGTGTCGAACGCCCGCTGGCAGGAGGTCATGGGGCAGACCCAGGTGCCACGGGTCGACTGACTGAGATGACTGAGATGGCTGCCTGATGCACCACCTGTGCCCCCTACTGTGCCAACTTGCTGTGCTTTAGCCACCCGGCACTCCGCTCGTTGTTGTGAGCGTCGCTCCTCCGTCCTTCGTTGGTGTTGGAGGGCAACTGCCTCCAACTGCCCAGTAGCGTCCTTCACGAGCCTCCTCCACTGAGGCCGATCTTGACACCGCTGGTACCAGTCATCGACAAGTCCACTCAGCTCCACGTCCTCCTGTACCACATCACTCCATCTTTTCTCTAGCCCGTGCTGCGCCTATTTAGCCCCCTCGATCCGGCCGAACAAAAGCTGTTTAGGTATGCGGTGGCTGGGTATGCAGGCTACATGACCCAGCCAACGCAGCCTTGCCTGCCGGAGGAGCTCACCGATGGGACTTTGCCCAGATCTTTCAAGGATTTGTGAGCTCCTCACACAATCCAGCCTGGTTAAACCCAGGATGGATCGTAGGCAGGCCAGCCTAAATGTTTTTAACTGGCGAAGATGCTCCATTAGGGTGGTCCACGTTTCGCAAGCGTAGAGAAGGGAGGGAATGACTGTGGCCGAGAAGACCTGAAAATTCGAGCGGAGTGACAGACCAGGCAGCTTCCACACAGCGTTACGCAACCGATGAAAAGATATTGCTGTTCGACTGATTCGGAGTGAGACCTCCGCTGCCAAACCGGAGCCGGTCATGAGCACACTGCCCAGGTATGGGAAACTTTCCACTCTCTCCACAACTGCCCCATCACCGATTGAGAGTTGTGGGGGTGGAGTGTCTGATGGTACAAAATACCCAGGCAGGTGCTTAATTTTGGTGGGGCTAATGGTAATGCCCCACCTCTTAGTGGCACATTCCAGTTTCAGCAGAAGCGTCTCTAACTCCTCCTCTGAATGAGCAGCAATTACCAAATCATCGGCATACATAACGTGGTTGACCAATAGGGAGCAATCCCTTGACCGCCCCCGGGCATCAATCAGTCTCCCTTTATATCTGTACCAAATGGAAATTCCCCCGGTACAGCTATTGAAGGCTTCACGAACTACGTGGTCAAAATAGATGTTAAATAATGTGGGAGCCAGAGGACATCCCCGTCGCACCCCAAGGTGTATAGGGAATGGCTCTGACTCCCGGCAACGTAGTTTTACCCGGGCCCACTCACCAACATGAAGGTCCTTAATGATCGTGAGCAGAGGGTCAGGGACTATGAAAGCACGAAGAACAACCCAGAGCCCAGGCCTACTGATGGTATCATAGGCCTTGACCAGATCAATAAAGCAGAGATGTAGGTCTTGTTGGAATTCCCTACACCTCTGCTGTAGCAGACAGACAGAAAATATGGCATATGTGAAAGACCTCCCTTTCCTGAAACCGCATTGGGGCTCCGCAAGCCTCTCAGCGTGCCTAGCAAGGCGATGTTGAATAATCCTTGCCAGGACCTTTCCCGGCATACTGAGGAGTGAGATGCCCCTGTAGTTGTTACAGTCTGTGCGGTCCCCCTTCTTAAAGAGGGGGACCACCAGGGCATATTTCTAGTCCTATGGAACCCGTCCAGTGGTCCAGACTGTTGTTATGATGTCATGTAGGGCAGTCTGTGCACAAACGCCACCCTCCCTCAGCATTTTGCTTGGGAAATCATCTCTGCCCGGTGCCTTTCCTGGTCTCAGACTCTGGATCGCCTTCCGTACTTCCTCAACCAATGGCACCTCAGCCAGCCACTCACAGGGGGTGACTTCCAATATTTGAGGCACCGCAGCCTCAGCAGGGTCATCCCCACTTTGTCCCACGTTGTTTTCCTGGGTAAGGGATTTCCCCTACCCTAGGACCTCACAGAAATGCTCAGAAAATCTGCAAACTTGTTCCTGGGGGTCGGAGATTGGATCACCATTCTTTCCCCTAATGATGGTAATAGGTGTGGCGCTGCAGGTTACTTTTGTCATGAAATTAAAGAGCGATTTGTTCTTGCGGGCCACTGAGGCAGACTCCTATCTCCTCAGCAACCCGTGACCACCACCCATCCTTGCAGCGCCTCACGGCTCTCCGAACCTCCGAGCGAAGGCTGCGGTAAGCCTCCTCATTCTCTGATGTGGGATGCTGTAGACGATTAGAGTGGGCCTTTCGCTTTTTCTCAACCATCCTGAACACCTCCTCTGTCATCCAGGGTGTTTGGGGAGGTCTGGACCACGTTCCCAAAGCAGCCATTGCAGCTGCATGAGTCACAGTCCTAAACCTTGCCCATTTACTCTCGACATCAGGAGTGGGGGACGATGCCAACCCCAGCCGCAAGCGTTGATGAAATTCTCGCTTGCAACTTTCATAAGCTAACTGAGACCAGGCCACCTTAGGTTGGAATGGGGTCTTGGATGTACATCCACCACCGGAGTGGAAGAATGGCAGGCGCATCTTACAGATGACTAGTCAGTCGATGGTCAGAGGGCAGATCAGCTCCACGGTAGGTCCTGGTGTCAAGGACATGGGCTCGCATCCACTGATCCGTCACTATGTAGTCCAGCAGATGTTCTTGCTTGGATCCAGCATGCATCCGTGATGTTGTGTTGATGCGCCGATGCCGGAACAGCGTGTTGGTAATTACAAGATCATTGGCTGCACAAAAATCTAGCAGCCTCCTACCGTTGTTATTGAACTGATCTGGCCCATGCCTTTCAATCACTACAGACCAGGTGCAGACACACAACAACAACCGCCATTCGCCACTAAGTGGCGGTGACGTCACCACGACGCTTGTGCCAGGCCATGTGCACCTTGAGGCCACGTGAAGTGTCGAACGCCCGCTGGCAGGAGGTCACGGGGCAGACCCAGGTGCCACGGGTTGACTGACTGAGATGACCGAGATGACTGGCTAATGCACCACCTGTGCCCCCTACTGTACTAACTTGCTGTGCTTTAGCCACACGGTGCTCCGCTCGTTGTTGTGAGCGTCGCTCCTCCGCCCTCCGTTGTTGTTGGAGGGCGACTGCCTCCAACTGCCCAGTAGTGTCCTTCACGAGCCTCCTCTACAGAGGCCGATCTTGACACTGCTGGTACCAGTCATCGGCAAGTCCACTCAGCTCCACGTCCTCCTGTACCACATCACCCTATCTCTTCTCTAGCCCGTGCTGTGCCCGTTTAGCCCCCTCAATCCGGCCAAACAAAAGCTGTTTAGGCATGCGGTGGCTGGGCATGCGGGCTACATGACCCAGCCAACGCAGCCTTGCCTGCCGGAGGAGCTCACCAATGGGACTTTACCCAGATCTTTCAAGGATTTGTGAGCTCCTCACACAATCCAGCCTGGTTAAACCCAGGATGGATCGTAGGCAGGCCAGCCTAAATGTTTCCAACCGGCAAAGATGCTCCATTAGGGGGGTCCACGTTTCGCAAGCGTAGAGAAGGGAGGGAATGACTGTGGCCGAGAAAACCTGAAGCTTCGTGCGGAGCGACAGACCAGGTAGCTTCCACACAGCATTACGCAACCGATGAAAAGATATTTCCACTTGACTGATTCGGAGTGAGACCTCTGCTGTTACACTGGAGCGGGTCATAAGCATACTGCCCAGGTGTGGGAAACTCTCCACTCTCTCCACTACTGCCCCATCACTGTCCGGCAAAACAACCCCCTACCTCCTCGCGGTGCCTGAATGGGCAACACTGTCGTGGACAGTGCTGTGGGGGGAGAGCCAATGCCCATTGGCCTCTCCCCTCATGGCGTCTGTGACCACCACAGTGGCTAAACGGGGGCTCTGGACGGGTGCGATGGGCTGGTAACCCCTCCACCTTCAATTTATTACCACGAAACTACGAATTAAACATAAATATGTAACTAATAAGCTTGTGCCGGAGGCCCCGGGGGGACAGGCGTCTATAACATCTCCTGGCCAAACCCCAATTGGCGGAGCCAGGAGATTAAATCTTCACCCTCGGGGCTCCTCCAGAAACAACGAAAGCCACTATGGATGGCCACGTGGAATGTTCGAACGCTCACTGCGGAGGAGAGGCTGCCACTCCTTTGTCAGGAGCTGGATCGGTACCGCACACACACACACAGACATACAGACACACAGATGAGACACAACATATATCCGTCCTCGGGCCGTGACGTCATATCCGCTTCCGCCCAGTGTGCCGCTGGAGCCACGCTGCGAGCTGCGTGCTGAGGAGCGCCTCTCTGCACGAAGCCTCCTGGAGCCTCTCCCGGAGCAGTCACCATGGAGGCTCATGGGCTGCGCAGTACCTCACGCACCCTCGTGGCGCTGCTCGTGACGAGCTACGCGTTCCTCACGTCTGGGCCCACGGAGGAGAAGAATTTCTCCCCGAACTGGCTGGTTAACCTGGGGGGAGCCTGGGAGGTCCAACCGCCACAGGCCGGGCAGCCTCTACCTTTCGCCAAAGCGACCGTGGCTGTCCACATCAGCGACCGGCTCGCAGATCACGAAGCCAAGAGGGAGCCTCGAGTCGCTTCCTCTCCCAGCCATGGCGTGGAGGTTCCCCAAGGAGGAGGAGGAGAAGACGACGACCCAGCTCCCTTAGGGTGGAAGACCTTCATGGAGATGCTGCACAGCAGGCCGGTGGCCATCGCCTACGAGGTGGCGAGTGCAGGGATCGCCCTCCTCAGCCTCGGAGTGTGGCTGAAGAATGCAGTGGTGAGTGCCAGCTTCACGATTACACAGACCATAGCGTGGCACCGCAACAGACACCACACGCAGAGCCACCACACGCAGAGACGTATCACGCGTACAGATCACTCGCGTAGATATAAGAATCTCACTCGCATATGTAGTAGGTTCAATGAGACGTAGACGACGTAGTCGGAGGCACACTTATTTATTATAATGTTTCACTCAGCACAGGCCAATGTATACAACACTCGAAGGGGTAATGGCCCCTTCACCCGTCTAACAGGGAGACCCCATTAACTCTAGCCCGGCTAGCCTACTCCCAGGTCCTCCACTCGAGAGCTAGGGGAGGCTAGCTGATCCAGCTCTGGCCAGGCTAGGATCACGGCACCCTTAGCCACCAGACCAGCTCTTACAAGAGCATCGGCTCTGGGCTCTCGGGGCCACGCCACTGGCTTGCCCTGGTCGGTCCTTAGAAGGACAGCGATCCAGGGGAGTCCCAGGGCCTATCTAGCCGGTCTTCACTCTTCACTAGTTAGGCTGAATACTGAACCCCGTGCCCACCGGCTCACCGCCTTATATAGCAACTCCCCCACGAGGGGTGGGGCCGTGGGAGATCACAGCGCCGTTACAGCCCCCCAGGGCTAACCGATGCGGACGTGAATATAAGCATCCTTCCGCGTGCGGGCATAACCACCCCTCGTGTGTTTGTTCACCCTCCCGTAACACCCCTACACATACACCACACACACAAGTATATATGACATCCACACACACATCCTAGACAAAGTCGCAAACACCTTGCTCAATTAATAATGCTTAAATATTATCCACTGCAACTTTAAGGGTGTTTTTTGTTACTGGCAGCGTGGCATTTGGGACATGTGCTGGACTCAGCTGTCCTTGTGCGGCATTGGTGAGTTGCCCTGGTGCGGACAGAACTATTTCCCCAGCCAGTAGAGTCAGAATAATACTATTTATTTATGGTTGAGGAATCCGATGAGCTATGAAGCTCTTTTTCACAGATGTCCAGTCGGGGCTGGTAAGAACATTACAATAACAAATACTACAAAAACATGATAATAGTGCAAAGTACATGAAAGGTTAACAAATCACCCAAAAACAAACAAATAAAACTAAACCATCCCCATCATACAAAGCCCACTGAGGTACTAACTTATTTTTCAGACGGAACCTGGTCACAAATGATAGATCAACAAAGTGACATCATTTGGACATTCATAGCAGCAAAATAATCTAAATTATCGAAATAAATGTTTCTAAATGTGGAGGGAAAAACCAGAGGATCAAACTACGCAGGGCCATGGCACATGACCAATGACTTTTGTTTATTTCCGAGAATCCAGCTGTTAGTCAAGGCTGAACTAAAGAGAGGGAAAGATACTTGTTGTCGTGCTGTACATTACAAATACTTGTGCAATGTTTTCAACAGTGGCGTCCACGACCTCCTGCCATGCCAGCGATGGCCGTCCACACCACCAACCTCCCGAAACAAAAGGCTCGGTCGAACTTGGCCGAAATGGTACCTCAAGCAGCTTCTTCTTTAGGCTGTTGGATGACGGTTCCGCAAGATGGAGAATACCCGTCTCCCTCAAGGTGGACGACCTTGATGAAGATGCTGCACAGTGGGCCGGTGGCCATCACTTACCACGTGGAGAGCACGGGGATCACCATTACCAGCCTAAGAGTCTGGCGGAAGAATCAACTGGTAAGAGAGAGAGAGTGTGCTGGCTTCACTGTCACATAGAGAATCAGCAGGACACCACAACAGACACACACAGAGACACCACACCCAGAGAGGCATCGTGGATATAGATCACTCAGGCAAATGTCATAATCTCACATGCATAGATGACACAAATCAGAATAAGAATATTTATACTGGAGGAATCCGATGAGCTATTAAGCTATTTTTCACAGATGTCCAGGAGAGGCAGGTTAGAACGTTACAACACCAAACAATAAAAAATCACACTCACACCCTCGACAAAGTCGCACACATTTATTACAAGCACACACATTGTTCATGCTGTGGATTACAAATAGTTGTCCGATATTTGCGACTAAAAGGCAAGTACAACACCCGTGTTCAATCAATGGTGGTGGTGTGGTAGATGGCAAGTGAAAAAAAATATTTGAGTGGATGTGACCAACAGGGGAAGAAGGAGACTGCAATCTCTTGCCTCTCATACTGATTTTGTTTCCGGTTTTAAACAGAAGTCATCGCAACGTGGACGAGTTTACCGAAGCCGCCACATGAGAGGATCCATGTGGAAATTGGCTCGGGGCAAGCGCCACCCCATGAAAATCAAGAGGACCCACAGATCCCTCAAGACTCGGCTGGATGGCTGCTCCATGATGAATAGCTCTCTGTGTGAGTCTCTGGGTGAGGGTCTCTGTGTGAGAGTCTCTGTGTGAGAGTCTCTGAGTCTCTGGGTGAGAGTCTCTGGGTCTCTGTGTGAGAGTCTCTGGGTGAGAGTCTCTGGGTCTCTGTGTGAGAGTCTCTGAGTCTCTGGGTGAGAGTCTCTGGGTGAGAGTCTCTGGGTCTCTGTGTGAGGGTCTCTGGGTGAGAGTCTCTGAGTCTCTGGGTGAGAGTCTCTGGGTCTCTGTGTGAGAGTCTCTGGGTCTCTGTGTGAGAGTCTCTGGGTGAGAGTTTCTGAGTCTCTGGGTGAGAGTCTCTGGATGAGAGTCTCTGGGTCTCTGTGTGAGAGTCTCTGGGTGAGAGTCTCTGATTCTCTGGGTGAGAGTCTCTGAGTCTCTGGGTGAGAGTCTCTGGGTCTCTGTGTGAGAGTCTCTGGGTGAGAGTCTCTGAGTCTCTGGGTGAGAGTCTCTGGGTCTCTGTGTGAGGGTCTCTGGGTCTCTGTGTGAGAGTCTCTGGGTCTCTGTGTGAGAGTCTCTGGGTGAGAGTCTCTGAGTCTCTGGGTGAGAGTCTCTGAGTCTCTGGGTGAGAGTCTCTGGGTCTCTGTGTGAGGGTCTCTGGGTCTCTGTGTGAGAGTCTCTGGGTCTCTGTGTGAGGGTCTCTGTATGCGAGTCTCTGTGTCTCTGTGTGAGAGTCTCTGGGTCTCTGTGTGAGAGTCTCTGTGTGAGGGTCTCTGTGTGAGAGTCTCTGGGTCTCTGTGTGAGAGTCTATGGGTCTCTGTGTGAGAGTCTCTGGGTCTCTGTGTGAGGGTCTCTGTGTAAGAGTCTCTGGGTCTCTGTGTGAGGGTCTCTGTGTCAGAGTCTCTGGGTCTCTGTGTGAGGGTCTCTGTGTCAGAGTCTCTGGGTCTCGGTGTGAGAGTCTCTGGGTCTCTGTGTGAGAATCTCTGTTGAGAGTCTCTGGGTCTCTATGTAAGAGTCTCTGGGTCTCTGTGTAAGTCTCTGGGTCTCTGTGTGAGAATCTCTGTGTGAGAGTCTCTGGGTCTCTGTGTGAGGGTCTCTGTGTGAGAGTCTCTGGGTCTCTGTGTGAGAGTCTCTGTGTGAGGGTCTCTGTGTGAGAGTATCTGGGTCTCTGTGTGAGAGTCTGGTTCTGGTGCAAGAAACACAAGAATGAAGCCTGCCAATGCCCCCCTCTGCTCCACGTGGCATGGCACTGCAGCAACTCCCCGCCCGTGTGGGCCCGTGCAGTTGCACCGCCTGCACACGCGGCAGGAGACGTGGCCGCTGGTGGTGTGCCGCGTGCTCGTAGTTTTAGTGGACTGTATCGTCCTTGCCCGCACAGGAAATCAAAGGTAATTGTTTATAGCACGGCCTACATGCGCGTGCGTTTTGTGTTTTAGTGTTTGTTCTTGCTCCGCACATCAGATTAGCACCATTGGCTACGTACGGTGCGAAAGAAGTTAGTTTACATTTCTACATCCGTTAAAGGAGTAGATGATGGAAAATGTAAAACTGAAGTCTCGCGTAAGGCAGTGTGGCGCTTACAGAAAGACACGCCTTTAGCTCGTGCAGTTACAGTCGTCTCAAGGAGACGCCACATGAAGATGCGTGAAGGTAATTTAATTTCTGACGGGGAGAAACAGCGGCAACTCGAAATATAAACCATTCTTGGGAGCCTCCCTTAGGTCAGTTCGGCCTTAAATGAGTACTCGGTTCATTGCGAGTGTAGATTCGGGAGACAAAGACGGCTGTGATTCTGCTTACACGACCACTAACAGCACGCTGCTGGCCTTCATAGAGTCTCACTCGCTACGCTTGATGTTCAGAGCTAAAAGTAGCGAATTGAGTCCCCGAAAGAAGATCTGAGCAGGCCATAAAATAAGGGACAATAAACTCAGAATAGTTTTTTACGCTTTTCATCGTCAACGCCTGCTGTTGTATCATTTCAAGCGGCATTGGTTCAACACAAGCATGTAAGAATTGTTTCAATACCACCAGGTAAATTAGTTGCTAGATGTACTGTTAATGTATGAAGTTCATAGTTTAAATAAAAGTAATCTAATGTCCGCGATTTTGAATTATCCGCGGCTGTCCTCCCTGTCAGCACGAATAATCGATAATCTACTTTATTAGCTGACGTCCAAAGAAAATCCTAAATGAATGAAAATCAGGTCTACGATTGTCATTCAATTATAGACCTGATTGAATGAAAATCAGGTCTATCGTCATAATTACAGACCCCTTAATCTGTGATGATGACGAGGAGTGGCCGCTTTCAAATGGGAAAAGTCGACGCTGTCTTTGCGCGTCAGGTGCTGCCTTAGCACTTGTTCTGATCCCATGCCTTGGTTGGGATTTAAAAAAATGTCTGTTTCCCAGTGGAGCCTGGGACGCGTCACGCAGCCGCCCCTACCTGCTGCCGGTGTGCGGACACGCGTCTTGTGTGGAGCATGCCTGCAGGACAAAGGCACGCGCACGCGCGGGCTGCGAGTTTGTGTGCCCGACCTGCAAGGTACAGCTACGACAGTCGTATGGCCACGTTGTGTACGAGTGTGTATGTCAGGGTGTTTGTATCTGCCTGCATGTGCACAATAGTGCAGCGGTTAGCGCTACGCTGCGCTACGAACCCGGCGACACGAGTTCGATTCCCGCTCATGGCCGCCAACACTGGTGACGATTATATGAACCAGCCCTGGACCTCCCCTAAAGTTGACTCGACGTCAAATGAGTACCTGGTACAGTGTGTAAACAACGCCACTGGGGAGACAAAGGCGGCCGGGCTTGATGTTGGCCAAACACCCTCTCGTGCCGTGCCGGCCTTCATGGATGCTACTCACTATCGGCACTTGCCCCAACAGTCTGTTAAGGCTACACGGGGGATCTTTGTCTTTTGTATGTGAACGTGTTATCAAAACGCCTCTCGGCTGGTTTCGTGTGAAGTCCCCAGTGGTGTAACTGGGTGCTACTGCAGTGGATAAAACAACCTGCAAATATGAGCCAAAGATTTATTTGTTAACAGTGAAAGCGAAGTTTTTCAGGCGTTGTCAAAAACATTTTGCAAGGGACCAGAATGGATGAATCCGAGTCAACGACACAAGATGTCGCTTGCTTCTGTCTGTGATTTGCAGTTACGAGTTTTACTCACTCTGCCACGTTTGCAATAGTTTCCTTGTATTTGGCAAGCAATCGGAGAGGGACAAACGGTGATGCCATCTTTTTGTACGCTTTCTCTTTTTGAAAATGTTGCTGCTTGACATTTTAATGGTACACTACCAAGCTGTCAGTTGAATATGTAGCAGGCTTTCGCGACCAATGTCCATAATCGAGGTTTTTGGGTTAGATTGCGTAAATATAATAAATGTCGTTAATCCCGGCACCACCCAATACGGTCAATTAGTAAGGTTTGTCACGTAACCAAAACATGCCAATTCATGACTAGTACAGCTCATCGTTGGAAAGTAAAGATGTATTAAAATACAGGAAAATATATTGTTATCCGGCATTCTACAATCTGGAATGCTCTTCACTAACCAGCATCTGTCGTAAACGGCAATGCGAATCTTCCTTCATGTACAGACAGTCCACAGGTTGCGAAATATCTGACTTGAGGAAATCTAACCTAATGGGAATGCTTCCATAAATCATGTAACAATAAAACATCGATATGCAGACATTCTTGCGTTAATTACGTAAGCGCAAATATTGCAGCACAGTGATGTTTGCGGATGAATACCGTGGAGCGAGACGTAAGGCGAGGGGCAACCTTACGCCTCACTTGAGCTCCACGAGGGTTAAGGCATTTATTGTCGTCTTATGTAATTCTTTCATTTCGTAGCATTATGTCATTGCTTGTTTTATATGCTGAGAGCTTGTTTTTCCCCATGTTTATATTGCTAGTTTTCTTCATTTAAGTTTATTTCATGAGTTTTTTACTGTATGTACTTTATTTAACACAATTCTACTTCAGTTGCTTATGCACTCAGCCCAGTATCAAGGAGGATATCTGTGTTGTGTCCAGCCCCATGGCAAGGGGGGGGGGAATCTGTGTTTTGTCCAGCCCCCTGGCAAGGGGGGGTATCTGTGTTGTGTCCAGCCCCGTGGCAAGGGGGTATCTGTGTTGTGTCCAGCCCCGTGGCAAGGGGGGTATCTGTGTTGTGTCCAGCCGCATGGAAAGGGGGGGTATCTGTGTTGTGTCCAGCCCCGTGGCAAGGGGGTATCTGTGTTGTGTCCAGCCCTGTGGCAAGGGGGGGTATTGGTGTTGTGTCCAGCCCCGTGGCAAGGGGGGTATCTGTGTTGTGTCCAGCCCCGTGGCAAGGGGGGGTATTGGTGTTGTGTCCAGCCCCGTGGCAAGGGGGGTATCTGTGTTGTGTCCAGCCCCGTGGCAAGGGGGGGTATTGGTGTTGTGTCCAGCCCCGTGGCAAGGGGGTATCTGTGTTGTGTCCAGCCCCGTGGCAAGGGGGGTATCTGTGTTGTGTCCAGCCACATTGCAAGGGGAGGGGTATCTGTGTTGTGTCCAGCCCCGTGGCAAGGGGGGGTATTGGTGTTGTGTCCAGCCCCGTGGCAAGGGGGGTATCTGTGTTGTGTCCAGCCCCGTGGCAAGGGGGGTATCTGTGTTGTGTCCAGCCCCGTGGCAAGGGGGGTATCTGTGTTGTGTCCAGCCCCGTGGCAAGGGGGGGTATTGGTGTTGTGTCCAGCCCCGTGGCAAGGGGGGTATCTGTGTTGTGTCCAGCCCCGTGGCTAGGGGGGTATCTGTGTTGTGTCTAGCCCCGTGGCTAGGGGCGGTATTGGTGTTTTGCGATGACGCCTACTCACACCTTCGTCTCCTTCGTCAGGTCCCCGGCCTCCTTCTACCTGCAGCCCGACGAAGCGCTTGGAAATTTCCTACCCACGTGAGCATGACCGCTCTCCCCCTCGCCTCTGCGGCCGCTCGGCTCATCTCCGTGTGCGCGATAATGCGTGGTGACATGTTTATTGCATTTCTCTTTTTTTTATACTAACTGCTATAAACTAAACTTTTTTTATTTTAAGTGCCTACTGATCTATATAGCTATTTTTCAGAAGTGACCTGGCTACTGTAATAAAAGACTTCGTTGGTCACTGTTGGTCTCCTTTGGCCTTTTATTTAGTTTCTTTCTCCGCACCCCGCTGGTCCTGTCCGTGGACCAGCGTCGTCTAGCGCGCGCCCCGCACGCGCGACCTCATCGGCTCCTCCACTCTTCCTCACACCCCGCTAGTCCTGACAGGGGACCAGCGTCTCCTCGCGCGCGCCCACGCACGCTCCTCCGTTAGCTCCTCCACTCCCGCACTCCGCTGGCCGACGGCGTGCTGAAGGTCCTTCGGCCACGTGGCCGATGGCGCGGATCTCCTCTCACCACCCAACGTGGCTCAGCCTCTTTACTCCGCAACTCCCCCGATCTCTTCCGAGCTCCCACTTCTATCCTCTCCCCCACGTGACCCTGACTCCTCCCCTTCCGGATCGTCAGATACGGCCTTCTCATACTGCCCTGCTGGCTCCACCCCCATTCACCTCGCTTCCAATTGGAGCCGAGGTGAACGGCGGCCCCTCCCACACGCCCCCCATACCGGGCTCCGCCCCCCAATAACCCGGGCCGTGTGATTGGGCCAGAGCCCAGCAGCAAACCCCATTTACGCTCTCATTTCACTACAAATAATAGTTCAACGAAGGGGCTTATGTGCAAATTGTAATTAGCCAAATACTATTAAGGCATCTTGAATCTAAATGTAGAGGGGAAAACCAGAGGACCCAGAGAAAAATCCACGCGACTGCGGAGGGAACATGCAAACTCCAAATTTACAGCAGGCGTCAGGGTCGGGATGGAACCCACGCCCTCCTGTATACCACGCCACCATGACACTATACTGCCAGCCACCGTCCAACATTCACAAGGTTCAGAAATTCCCTTCGCGGCCTGCGGAACACGCTGCAGATAAAGTTATATAGGGCGGGCACAGAGTACCCACAGTTCCCAGTGTCCACCCCCTACCCACAAGCCTCACCCTTCCCTACCCACAAGCCTCGTCCCTCACCACTCCCTTATCACAATCCTCACCCTTCCCTACTCCCTACCCACAAACCTCACCCATCCCCTACCCACAAGCATACAGGCACCACTCGCGTGGGCGCAACGTGCACAGGTGCAATGAAGGCAGGCCCAATACATAGTGGCATTGCTCAAGATTGCTTTATCAGATCCTCAGTAAGTCTGCACTCCAGCTAACATTGTAGATCGCGGCGCAGACAGCCGAGTTACATGGAAGCGCTAGAGTTTGCTCTACACGGAGCGTTAACGGCCCGCCTCCATTCCGAGCATGCGTGGAAGCGTGCTCAGCAGCGTCAAAGCGAGCCGCCGTGAGTTGGGCAAGAACGTTGACAGCCCTGACCATGTGGAACATGGCTCGTTCAGATGGCGCGGCGACTCTCGATCGCGAGCTTTCACTCTAGCGGCGTTGTGACTCGTTGGGGCCGCTCCGTGTCAATGACCCGCGGCGGTCTCGACTGTTGCCCAGCCCAGGACTCTGGGCCTCAATAGCCTATGCAGAGCCAACGCCCTCCAAAACGTTGACCTGCAGCATGTTGCGTGGCAGAAAGGGAATTGCTGAATGTTACGAGGAATGTTGGACCAGTGGCTCGTGGTATGGACTAGAGCAGGGGTCGGGAACCTTTTTGACTGGGAGAGCCATAAAAGCCAAATATTTCTAAATATATTTCATTGAGAGCCATATAGTATTTTTAACGTATAATAAATTAAATATGTCTTACTTTTAATGCGACTTCTGGTGCTGCATGGTTTTGCTGATGGCCTTGTAGTCTGGTTCATACGTGGTGAGGTTGAGCTTCATGCAGGCGTGACCCGTGAAATTTATCTTCAAAACTAATTTCTGTTTACTTTAAAATGACACAGTATTATTAAACAATATCACAAGTATTTTAAAATCAGTTCCAAACTGATTTTTTATTATTATTATTTTTTCCAACTCAAAATTGTCTGGGAGCCATATGCCGTCACCGGAAGAGCCATATATGGCTCGCGAGCCATAGGTTCCCGACCGCTGGACTAGAGAAACAAGTTTTCCATTCATGAAAAATGTAACGTGATCTATTTGGTGTTTGAACATCTTAAGACATGTTTTATTGCCAGAAAGGGTAAAACTTATTGTTATTCTTTATACTTCGATGCTGACAACAAGGTCCCATGACAAGTTAAAAAAACAATTCCACAAATGACTAAACTCCCTAAGTCTTCGTAACAGCCGTGCTTCATTGCTTTGTGTAGCAGCGCCACCGTGTGGATGGAGCCTCATAGCACTTGGAGTGTGGCATTTTTTGTTACTGTGTGTGGACATCGCGTTGCGGCCTGTGTGTGCGGGGCGTGCAGGCTGAAGGAAATGCTGGAGGAGCGATTTGGTGGGAAGCCTCGGCCGCTCTACCCCGAGCGGTCGCTCGCGCAGGGCGGCCGCGGCGCTGGCGTCTGGCACCGATCTTGTCGAGGGCTCTGTACAGCACAAACCACTGCACCTGGGCCACGGCCCGAATCCAAAGCCTCCGTTCTGACGGTCAGATTCAGGTCTGTTCCCGTAGTCGAGTTCACGTTTAAATTTATGCTGGGCAATGAGTTGATTGAAACCTAGAGATGTAAAATAGCAGACAGGTCACTTCTGTCACCAGGCCTTTTAGCTGCGTTCCAACCAAGGCTTTTTCTATTTCCACACCTCCGATTAGCACAGTTGGCTATGTACGGTGCGAAAGAAGTTCAACATAAATATTCATAAGTTTGTTTACCCCAAGAAGACCTCAAGCTTTCACGACCATTATCCATAATCGAGGTTTTTGGGTTAGACGACGTAAATATGAATGTGTCGTTCAACCCGCCACCGCCAACACAGCCAATTACTGTAGTGAGGTTTGTCACGTAATCAAAACGTGCTAATTCGTTACTAGTTCAGCACACTGGTGTGTTCGAGAGTAAACCCCCAACATTTACAATTCAATACTCTTTGGTTCTTTTGGTAAAGTCACGTAGGTATAAAATAAAATTTACAATTCGAGTACGACGTTTTGTCAGTAATTCCAACTCACATCAACAGGCGATAGCCAGGGTTGTTAAGAGCGAAGCAGGAGGATTTCTCAAGAGATAAATGTGATGTCTCACTTGTGGGGCAATTAGGCCGAAGGCCGGGGGGGGGGGGAGGTTATAAATGCATATAAATTACAATGGATATCCAATATCGGTTGGGTTATTCATAGGATAATCAACAGACATACATTCACATTATGCATGCACACCATGCATATCCATCCTGCCGTTTTTGGTTGCAAGAAAGACGGGTTTTTTTTATTCCAGCGTTCAGATAGTTGCCCAGTACCAGTTACGTTGCCATGGCGTGTTGTAGGCTGAAGCATTGACGCTAGAGGATGACCGAAACTGAATTTCTGGTTTCGGCCCAAACCGAAACCAGACCGAAAGTTAAATATTGGCTTTTGGCCTGAAACCGAAGCCGAAACCGAAAGTTGAACTTCACTTTCGGCCGAAACCGAAAGTTTAACTACACTTTCGACCGAGACCAAAACAGAAAGGTTTATAACCAAAGTTACCGAACACAAGATTTATGAAATACTAGCTTTACTACCCGGCTTCGCCCGGGACTTGGATTCACCACGGCCGGCTGCCTTTGTCTCCCCAGTGGCGATGTTGACACACCACTTACTCGTTTGAGGCTGAGTCGACCTAGGGGAGGCCCAGGACCAGTTCAAATAATCGTCACCGGCGGTGGCCATGAGTGGGAATTGAACTTTGGTCGTCGGGTTTGTAGCGCAGCGCGCGAATCGCTACGCAGTCGCTGCCCCCCCCTACATACACACAGGATAAGGACAAAAATCCACCATGTAGCCTGTGAGACTGTAGGGGGCAAGTGCTGTTAGCGAGTACCTATGAAGGCCGGCATGGCACACGAGGGGGTGGGTGGCCAGCACCACGCCATGTTCGTAGCGCTAAGCGCTACACATGCGCGGGTGACATGACAGATGTGACGTCACAGCTCGCTTGCCGTGCAAAATATATGCATTATTGCACCGCCCCCCCCCCCAAAAAATAATACCAAAGTGTATGCATGGTGTACAGTATGGAAAGTACCCACATGGCAAATTTAAAGTTTGTTGCATGTCAGGAAGTACGCTAAACATTTTGAACAGACACATTCACAAATTTTCATTTTTTATATATAGGTCATGATGCAATGCTACTTTAATAAAAAATGTATCTAGAACTAATCATTCAGAGCCTGCAGTAAGAGTCGTTAAATATCAAATCTTTAGGTGTTACTTAGTGATTATATCTAAACAAACGAATGTTGTAGTTAAGAAATACCAGTTTTTCCGCATTCTCGCCCAGCAGGTTGCTGTTTCTTGCATCAGAATCGACTTTAGTGATTAACTGCTCCGTTTATTAAGTTTAATTTTCTACTTCACTCAGATTCGTAATTTTGTTATCACTAATTCGCTACGTAACTATTAACTAACTGAATAACAATATTGTCAGATTTCGATTTAAAGCTTTCGTGACTGCAGGGATTCATCTTCTTGGTTCTTTCGGTAAAGTCACATAGAAGGGAAATAATAAAATAATAAAAATAAAACATAATAAAATAATTCTCACGACGTTTCGGCCACAACGCAAGCAGCTGTCCTCAGGTGAAGAATTCTTCATTTTTTTATTATGTTTTATTTTTATTATTTTATTACTTCCCTTCTAAGTGACTTTACCGAAAGAACCAAGAAGAATATTGTCAGACTTCGAATCTCGGTATCAACACGCGTATAGACTGAAGAGAACGCAACACATAAGCCAAGGCGGGCAGGCGGCTGGGAACAGACAACAACGGCACTTTGTTGTCGTCCCGCCAAAGAGACTCCACCCACGGATGCAAAAGCAGGCTGCCGTCTGTTGACATTAACAGACCATCGTTGCGGCTGTAACCTCGCTCCCAAGCTGCTGCTGATGTGTTTTTGCAGCCTATCGCAGGATTGCCTAGCGCCGACTGACCGGCCGATAGGCAGAGAGATAAACGTAGCACTAGCGTTATATTCTAAAAATAGATCTTCGGTTGACCGAAAGTCAATATCAGTTTCGGCCGAAACCGAAAGTAAACCGAAAGTAAAAAATGTACTTTCGGCCGAAACCGAACGTATGTCGAAAGCGGCCATTTGCCAACTTTCGGCACCGAAACCGAATTTCGGTCGGCCTTTACTTTACGCATCACCTCTGTGCGACCGACTGGGGATCGCAGCAACTTGAAAAGGTGATCAAATGTACAAGAGGGGTTGGTATGAATCCTATTGCTATTTGGGACTTACCTTGGAAAAACAAAACCAAGCATGTGTTTATCAAAGGATTATTCAATATTGGGCCAAAAAAGGATTGTTGATTACAGTAGACTCTCCATTTTCCACACTAATGACCGGGAGGATGGCCACGGATAATTCAAAATCGTGGATAATCCCAAATATTCATCTTCCGTGGATCTCTATGCCAAAAACCACTAAAGTATAGTGGTATAAGTTATGTTTAAGTTAAGAAAATTGAGTTGGTTAATGAATTAAACTAAAATTGTAGAACTCACGATAGATCGATGCGCGTGCTCAATGATAACAATTTCCTGCTCCCGCGCAGACGACTCGGCCCACAAAGGGGACAGCAACAGAGCCACGTCAATCAACATCAATCATTGCAATGGACAATTTTACGTGATTGCATTTACTGATCTGACCGAGGTGGTGGCACGTGCCTGTAAACTCATGGGGCTGAAAGGTGGCAGTATAGAAAGTTGGGGCACGTGACTTGTCTGTGCGGCCCTGTGAATGTTGTCCCCTTGTGCTCGTGGGCTTTCGCTCATTACTCAGTGCTGCAAAGCAGTGGCAATGGGAGCCAAGTACAGTAGACTCTCGATTATTCGCGCTAATTAGGGGAGGACGGCTGCACTAAGACCCATAGAATCATACACAGACACACAGCCTCACACAGACACCCATTGACTCACACAGAAACCCAAAGACTCACGCAGGAACAATATACTTGCACAATGACCCATAGAATCTCACACAGACACACAGCCTCACACAGACACCCATTGACTCGCACAGAGACCCATACACCCACATAGGGACAATATACTTGCACACAGACCCATAGACACCGAGACCCAATGACACACACAGAGAAAAAAATCCCACAGAGACCCATAGACTCACACAGATACCCATAGACTCACACAGAGACCCATAACCTCACACATAGACCCATACACCCACACATAGACCCATACACCCACACAGAGACCTATAGACTCAAACATATACCCATAGACACACACAGAGACCCATAGACTCACACAGAGACCCATAAACTCACACAAAGACTATACTTGCCCAAAGACCCATAGAATCACAGGAAGACACATTGGCAAACACAGAGACACAGACTCGCACAGAGACACAGACACCCATTGACTCACACAAATACCCAAAGACTCACACAGGGACAATATACTTGCAAATAGACCCATAGAATCTCACACAGACACACAGCCTCACACAGACACCCATTGACTCACACAGAGACCCATAGACTCACACAGAAACAATATACTTTCACAAAGACCCATTGAATCACACAGAGACACAGACATACATCGACTCATAGATTCACACAGGGACAATATACTTGCACAAAGACCCATATAATCACATAGAGACCCATAGACTCACAGAGACCCATAAACTCACACAAAGACAATATACTTGCACTAAGACCCATAGACTCACACACAGACACACAGCCTCACACAGACACCCATTGACTCACACAGAAACCCAAATACTCACTCACTGGGACAATATACTTGCAATTAGACCCACAAAATATCACACAGACACACAGCCTCACACAGACACCCATAGACTCACACAGATACCCATAGACTCACACAGAGACCCATAACCTCACACATAGACCCATACACCCACACATAGACCCATACACCCACACAGAGACCCATAGACTCAAACATATATCCATAGACACACACAGAGACCCATAGACTCACACAGAGACCCATAGCTCACACAAAGACTATACTTGCCCAAAGACCCATAGAATCACAGGAAGACACATTGGCAAACACAGAGACACAGACTCGCACAGAGACACAGACACCCATTGACTCACACAAATACCCATCGAAACACACAGACAATATACTTGCACTAAGACCCATAGAATCACACACAGACATTGACTCACACAGAAACCCAAAGACTCGCACAGGGACAATATACTTGCAAATAGACCCATAGAATCTCACACAGACACACAGCCTCACACAGACATCCCCAAAAATGCAAAATGCATTACGAATCATATTGACTGCCAAAACACATGTGGAAGTAGTTGAATATACAAAGTAATGCCCCACTAAACTCTTAACGGACCCAGCTCCCCCTCAAACTTAACGCGATTCCCCCGCACGCCCCTTCACTCACCAAAGTACTTGTTTCTCTCAGGCGCGTCAT